CCCCCAGGGGCTGATGGGTGGGGCCAAAAAGGGTCGAATTTACTGAAATTTCAAAAATCTTCTTCTCAAGACCCAGATATGGTAGAATCAAATACTCTTCATAGATGGAAGGGTCTTAAGGTTTATGACCCTAGGGTCTCACGTTAACCCCCTGGGGAACGAGGTGGGGGGGGGCAAAATTTATTATGGTTTATAATGGCAAATGATACTTTGAATATTACATGTTAATAACTTGATTGGAATTATAACCTTGAGTTGACAGTTTGATATTTTGAGCCAGCCCTACCCCCAAGGGCTGTAGGGTGGGCCTCAAAGGAGTCAGTGTGCTAAAATTTCTTCATTTTCCTTGTTTAGAATCAGAGATGCTAGTTTCAAATACTTTTTAGTCTGAAATCTGTATGCTAGATATTGAATGAGGTGGTTTTATTGTTTTTTGTCACTTTGAATAATATTTCTGTTCATGTTAAAAACAAAATCAACTCTCTGTATAAATATATCAGGTGACCCTTAAGGCCCATGGGCCTCTTGTTAAGCATCACAGATTTGTTTGGATAACTAGTCACACAGAGAGAAGCTTCATTCAATTTCTGTGAAACCTGGTTTGGTAAATAAATTAAACTTGATAAGAAATTGCTCATGAATGATTTGGGACGAAATTAAGCTAACGTTTGACTTGTCTGTATAAGAAAGTTTAATGACTGGAAATGTTCAAGTCAACTGAGCCAGCACTTCAATCATCATTTTACTCCAGTGAGTGTAGGGGAAATACCGACATAAAAGTGCCATTATTTTGACAGAGTTATTTCCCTTTTTATTCATCACAGTCTTGGGTTAATTTATCATAATAAGGAGTTGTTCATGAAGGATTTGGGGAGAATTTGCCTTAACATTTGGCTTAAAGTTCTTGTCTATATTAGAACATAGAATGACTGGAAATTCACAAAACACATACTGGTACTGATTTTGGTACATGTAGTATGTATGCACAGAATATAAGATTACAAATACAGGCGATAAAGAATGAAGTTGATATATTAGTCCCTGTTCTCATGTACTGTTTTTATTACAGGGAATGGAGAACCAGGTAAACACCTTCCCAGAAAACCTTGGAGATTTAATGAACAGCGGCAGTGCTCCTAATGTAACTATCCAGGTAAATATGTGTCGTAACTACAGTAATTTTCTGAGCTATTTTACAGGATTTCTTTTTGTAGTAATTTCTGTGTTACCTATGTGTCGTAACTTAGCTATTTTACAGGATTTCCTTCTGTAGTAATTTCTGTGTTATGTGTCGTAACTATAGTACTATCCTTAGCTATTTTACAGGATTTCCTTCTGTAGTAATTTCTGTTTTATGTGTCGTAACTATAGTACTTTCCTTAGCTATTTTACAGGATTTCTTTTTGTAGTAATTTCTGTGTTATGTGTCGTAACTACAGTATTTTCCATAGCTATTTATGGAATTTGTTTTTGTATTAAAAATATTAATTTTGTGTAATGTGTCGTAGCTGTGGTATATCGGGATATATACACTGCAGGTTAGTTTTGTGCATTTTTCGTCCTCAATAATGAGAGCAATTTATCCTTATAATGCATAATCTAATCAACATGATATACATAGCTCTGACATGTGAAGGGGCCAAATTAACACTGGCAAAAACTGCTTTTATGGGGAAGGGGTGAAAGTTTGACAGGACAAAAAATTATCGGGATACAGAATATTTTCCTGTTTTAGCACTAATCAATACTTTGTCATTTTCTAACAGAGGAATCAGATTCCCGGCCCGATGTCTCCCCATTACAGTCCGGCGGGTCTACAACAGATCCTCGGGCCAGGCACGCCCAATAGCCAGATGAACCAACAGGGGCCACAAACACCACAGCCCTCCACCACTAATATGAACCCTATGCTAGGGCCGACACCTCCCTCTTCTCAGATGTCTCCCCACTACAATCAGCCACAGAACCAGTGGGGAGTGGCGCGGTCACAACAGCCTGGCAGCATGCAGAGCCCCTTGGGTATACCACAGGTGAGATGGTCTCCTTGATAAGCTTTGTCAGGTGAGGTGGAACAATTTAGATTTAATGTATGCATGGCCACAAACTACCGACAGACGGATAGCTGGATCCTTTCAGTTATTGTCAAATAATTTAGAACTAGTAAATTGTTGTTCTTTTAGTGTCTTACCAAAGAGGAAGTTTTACATACATGCATAATTCACTTATTGATAGACCCTTATTTCTGTCAATCTAGTTTCTTTTCCAAGAGAAATATTCGTTTCATTGAGAATTTATGATTGGACTAAGTTTAATTAATTCTTCATAATTCCTTGGAAAAGTAAAGTTGTCTGGATGTTTAGATGCTTATCAGGCAAGTTCCCAGCACTTTCCAGGACTTCTCTTAATATATCAGGATTTTCATTTAGAAATCTGTTGGCTTGTATTGAAATATTTCTGTTTGCTTTATCAATAGGGATCACAGTTCAATATCAATCGACACCGTTCAATGTCTGGTGGGTCTATACCCAACTCCAGCCATCAACAGAGCCGTTTCCAGTTTCCGGGGGAAGGACAGTTCAGTGGAAGCCAGACCGGGGCAAACTCTATGGGGATGTTTAATCAACAATCACAACAACAACAGCAGCAGCAGCAACAGATGTTCAGTCAGAACCGAATGATGCAGAGGCAAATGAGTTTACCTCCAGGTATGTCAGAACTTATACAATCCTGTGAGATCTTGTAACCCCTCATGTCAGAACTTATACAATCCTGTGAGATCTTGTAACCCCTCATGTGAGATCTTGTAACCCCTCATGTGAGATCTGAAAGCCCATCCTGTGAGATCTTCAAACCCCTCATGTGAGATCTGAAAGCCCCTCATGTGAGATCTTCAAACCCCTCATATGAGATCTGAAAGCCCCTCATGTGAGATCTTCAAACCCCTCATGTGAGATCTTGTAACCCCTCATATGAGATCTGAAAGCCCCTCATGTGAGATCTTCAAACCCCTCATGTGAGATCTTGTAACCCCTCATATGAGATCTGAAAGCCCCTCATGTGAGATCTTCAAACCCCTCATGTGAGATCTTGTAACCCCTCATATGAGATCTGAAAGCCCCTCATGTGAGATCTTCAAACCCCTCATGTGAGATCTTGTAACCCCTCATATGAGATCTGAAAGCCCCTCATGTGAGATCTTCAAACCCCTCATGTGAGATCTTGTAACCCCTCATATGAGATCTGAAAGCCCCTCATGTGAGATCTTCAAACCCCTCATATGAGATCTTGAAACCCCTCATGTTAGATCTGAAAGCCCCTCAAGTGAGATCTTGAAACCCCTCATGTTAGATCTGAAAGCCCCTCAAGTGAGATCTTGAAACTCCTCATGTGATATCTGAAAGCCCCTCATGTGAGATCTTGTAACCCCTCATTAGAGAACTTGTAACCCCTCATTAGAGATCTTATAACTTTCATGTGAGATCTTGTATTATCTTCACCAGGACAGTTGAATCTACACTTTTATCTTTGTGAGATAGCCTTGTCTCACCCTAGGTTTGAGATGGGGGATTCCCCAGTGAAAACAATTGTATAATGTAATGTCAACAATCCCATGATGTCACTTCAACAAAACATTAATAGCCTGTTAAGATTTGCAATGCCTGTAACTCCAACATTGTATTATGTATAGCACAGGTCAAAAGGAAAAGAAACATTCACTCCCTTGAGGTAAGATATCCACTCAAGCCTCTGGGAAAGATTCTTAAGTTGTAAAACACACTCGGCAAGCTTTGTGTTCGGAACTTAAGAATCTCCCTACCTCGGGCGGAGATTTCCCTATCTCACCCCCAAGGTTTTGAAAGATTCTGTTAACCCCTCATGAGATACTGAATTATGTTTTATAAAGGATTCATATGTTTCAATAACTCAAAGCATACTTTGTCGCTCTGACCTCTCTGGTCACTGTAAACTTTCTGCATGTGATGTACCTATTTGACATACCTATTTGTTTACAGGCCGAGCGTCGCCGCGCACACCTCACAGTCCCTTCGGGAGTAGTCCCGACCCCTTATTGATGTCACCCCATGCCATATCACCCAACACCTCACATCGGCAGCCGACCAATCAGGTTAGCCCGCCTTTCAACCAATCAGTGTCCACAGCTAGCTTCAACCCACCCATGTCCAACTTCAACCCTGCCGTGTCGACGATGTCAGGAATGTCGAGAATGGGTCAGGTGACCAACTCTCAAGGGACAGCACAGGCGTCAACGACCTTCGATGACTTTGACATGCAGTTTGGAGACCTAGATACTAGGAAAAATGTTAGGATACATTGCAACTTATATCATATTGTACCAGTTACATAATCCTTCATAAAACTGCGTTCCGGGCAATTTTTCACACTGTTAAACTTTTGCTTTTATCACCTTCTGTCATGAGGGTGCCGACTTTATCATCAGAGGGAACCGTTGTAACCAGCACAATAAACATAGTAATTAAAAGTGAAGGCAGGATTAACATTGACAGATACCTATTTTACCAGCTTAGGGGGAAAGTGTTCCAGTATACAGTCATCAAGTTTATTATTAGATATTGTACACTTATCTAAATACACAAAAGGTCACTAAGTGGATGATTGATAAGTTTATACTGATATTCAAGATGACTTTCTATTAACTGAGATCGTAAGTTTTCCAGATTCGTGATTAGGATGAAAATTTTGTAATTTTATTTTTGTTTTCTTTATTTTAGTAAAAAGATAGACCTTGGTTTAGGGATGGGTGTCAACTCCACCTCTCAATATGTCAAACAAGAGCTGAGAAATATATGTGCTGCCAGATCAGAAAAGCAAAACCAACAACAACAACAACAACAACAGCAGCAACAACTCCAGGCCATGCAACAGCAGCAGCAGCAACAACAGATGGCACACCAACAACAGGACAACTACGAATCTAGTGAAATTCCTCTCGACATATTTGAGCAAAGTAAGCCTACTTCCCTCTGTTTTGTGGTTAAAGAAAAGTTGATACTTGTGTTGTCACCAAGTACATATGGTTGTTGGGTGGAGCAGTGGATAGCACACCTGCTTTCACCAAAGCGGCTGGGGTTTGATTTCCCCGATCGGACGTGAAAAAGTATAGGGTCACATGCCCGACCATGTGGGTTTTCTCTGGGTTCTCCAGTTTCCTCCAATATTTTAAAAGACCCCAATTGTTCTAACATTCAGGCCAACCAGAGTGATTAATATAAGTTGAAATAACTTGTTTCGTAATTGTTGAAAAGTTAAAAAAATTAACTATAAAGTATATATTTAACCTATTAACACCTACTGATGCATTTGGACTGATCCAAACCAAAGGATATTATAGTCCATTGTCGAAATACAGGGGTGAATGAGTCAAAACCAATTAGCCACAAGATTAGGAGTTCTTTATATTAAGTGTTTTGTCATTTCTAAACAGTCAGGTTCTTTATACATAACTTATTATTTGATTGCATATGTACAAGACCAGAGATGCATTCATTCAGAAAACGTTTTGGAATTTTTAGGTCACCTTTTGTCCGTCGTCGTCCGTCGTCGTCCGTCGTGCGTCCGTAAACAATTTACATTTTCGACTTCTTCTCCAAAACCCCTGAACCAATTTCAATGAAATTTTGCAGGGACCTTCCATGGACAAAGGTCAACAAAAAT